CACGGCGGGGGGAGGGGGAAGTGTTTGGTGCCAGGAGCCCTGAGAGCAGAGAGCATGAAGGAGAAAACACAAACCCGACCAGAGTTTGGGCTTTGGGGTGCTTGTTCTTTGGCCAAAGCCAGTGTTTAGGGCCCCACCTCCTACATGTCTGCCAGAGGCCAGCGTGGTTTGGGAAGGGAGGGGCCGGCTCCCCGCAGTGCCACCGCAGCCCCGGCACCTCTGCAAGAGGGCAGAGTCCTTGTGACGTCCGCGTCACACTCCTGTGCCCGCTGAATTGGTAATATTTGGGCGTAAGCTGATGTTTTGGAGACGGACTGTCAGTAGCCTCCTTGTTTTCAGGCTTCCTGCTTTGTTATTTCATAGACATCTGGGGCTGGAGAGAGCCTCTCTTTTTTCCACCTCAAGTCTCATATCTATTGGCTGGCACGCGGGTCGTTTGTGTTTTGTTTTACTGTGCTGAAGCAGGTGCGCGTCTATTTTTGAAGGAAAAGGAGGGAAATAAACCCTGGAGCACCAGCATGCAGGCCGCTGTTTTAGTGCCGAAACTGGTGCCAGACTGCAGTCGGTGCCCGCGCACTTGGAGCTGAGGGGCTGTAAAAGAAAGAGCTTCACTCCACGGAGTCAGAAACAAGTGACGTTTCTGTTCTGGAGAAAGTGTGATGTGGGTTTGGCTGCGAGGTGGACGTGTGTGGAAATACTGATGTGAGACCTTCCGAGTGGAAGATTGAGGCCCTCTTTCCCTTCAGTCTGTGCCTCCAGCTTACAGCGAGGGCTTCACGGGGAAAAAACAGGGTCTAGTTAGTCTAGTTAACTGTTGGAGGGAAGCATCTTAGGGGCCACGTCTCCCACCCCACGGAAGCCGTGTCTTGAACCTCGACAGCTTGGGTGGGGGTCGCGGTGGGGATGTGAGGGGGAGTCCTGGGCTCAGATTTCAAGCCAAGCACTGTGGGTGACTTGGCACAAGTGACCGCCCACCCTCCCTGGGCCTCGAGTTCTCCTCTGTGAAATCTGGATCGCGACACTGATGTCTTGGGCTTGTTGTGTGAACGCGCTCAGCGGAGGCTAACTCACGCTTTAGGAAGGTATGCACCAGCGGCTATAACGTAGGCGATGTGCGAGCCTTAATGCCTGATTAAACCAGCCCTTCCACCCCCTTTCCTGGCCCCCTTTCGTCTCCCTGATTGGCAGAGTTTGAGAACGCGTTGGCTGTTCAATGAAGAAGACCCGTATCCCGGCCCCAGGTATTGGGCCTGTCTCGAGCCTGAATCCTCTGGAAGGTGCCTCTGAGCATCTCCTGGGCTTCAGCCTCCTGGCCTGAAAAGCTGTTGGATTTCTAAGGCCCTGAGGGTTTGGGGAGCAAGGATTTATGTATTCAGTTTTTATTCACTTGGCAAATATTTGGTCCCTCTGTTTTACCAGGTGTGTTGCCTTCCGGGAATCTAAGGAAGAGGCAGGCAGGGAGGCAGGCGGCTGCAGGAAGGCAGCACAAGGGCCTGGTGCAGGGGGTGGACCCAGGGCGCGGGACAGGACTGAGAAGCTGAGAGCCACAGCGTGGGGGTGGCAGGCTTGAAGGGCCAGAGACAGCGGGGTTGGGGTGACACAGTAGCGACTTCCTTTTCCGTGGAGGCTTTCTGGGACAGTGGTGTGAGCACTGACTTAGGACACCAGACTTTCAGTGGAAATGTGATTTCACTAAATTTCCACGTGATGAAACAGCCCACCCAGGCTGGTTTTCCTTCAGGGAGTAGGGCTACCCTGGGCTCTCTCCCCCTTAGCCGTTTCCTGTTCGAAGTCCAGTGTTTTAAGTAGGGTCCGCGCACCCTCTGATGTGTAGAAAGGCCTCATTCTGGTGTCCGTGTTCTTGCTGGGGGGGCATTAGAGGCCTCGGGGAGCCTGTGGCACTGCTCTTGGTGGGCTTCCCCCAGAGGGTTTAACCCGGGCAGCCTGGGAGTCTGTGTTGTAAACAAGCAGCTGGTGGGTTTGTATGCACTTGGTAAATAGTTTATGAAATGGAATTAAAAAAAAAACCAAAATTTTAAGTGGATTTGACTTTTGTCACAGAAAAGAGTTTGGTAAGTTGGCCCCGAGCATCCCAAAGAGCCTGTGAGGGGACTGGCAGCGTGGTGGACTGAGTGTGTGTGTGTGTGTGTGTGTGTGTGTGTGGCGAGGCTGCACAGGCTTAAACTCTGGGTGCCCTGGGTCTGGAGCTGGACTTCTGTCCGCTCTGAGGACAGTCTCGTGCCGCTGGACATACTCCTTGCTGGCCATTACGCCTCCAATGAAGGAGACGTGGAGACACCGATGACTGCGTCATAAACCCCACTTCTGAGGTTGAGGAGAGCTTCCATCTCTGAGCCCTGCAGGGGGAGCAAGGGGAGGAAGGGAGGAGGGGGGTCAGAGTTGGGGAGCGGGGGTAACAGATGGGAAGCTGGCATCTCACCACCATGAGGAGGGTCCTGCTGCTTCAGCGTCGGCGTTCACCCCTGGGTGGGTCTGAGGGGGCCCCCTTGGCACTGGCTGTGACCCGCTGGCCCTCTCCCCACAGCCGGTGATGAACAACGACAAGCACTGCTTTGAGTGCTACGGCTACGACATCATCATCGACGACAGGCTGAAGCCCTGGCTCATCGAGGTAACCGCGCGCTGCCCGGCCGCTGCCTGGCCACCTGCCGCCCTTCCGGTGCCCCTGCCCCGCCCCTGGCTCCATGGTGCCCCCCGCCAGACGTTTCCCAGGCCGGGTCGGGGGTGGCAGGACAGGGGCAGGTGCTCCGGAGGCCCTGCCCTGTCCTCCCGTGGGACATTGTTCCTGTTCAGGAAAGGAGCTCACAGACCCGGAAGCCCTTGGGAAGTGGTGACATTCTGTCCAGAGATAAGGAGTGTGGTCCTCTTTGGAGGAAGGCATAGTTTGGAAGTGGGTTCATCTGCCTATTTCAAGGCGTAGACAGGATGTAGTGATGGCTGTTCTAGAAAGGGCGAGGTGCGCACACCCTTTTCCTGATGACAGAGGCGGTGGTGCTGACACGCCCACCTGGGCCTGGACGTGGAGCCCACCCCACCAGGGTTGTCCTGCTCTGCGGCCACGAGGAGGAGCCAGGCCTCTGAGGGCAGGCTGTCCATTCTGTGGGCTCATCTCCCTGCCTGAGCCTCGGAGTGCCATGTCCTCTGCCATGCCCATGTGGTGGGGGCGGCTCAGGCCCTTTAGCTCAGTCCCTTTTCAAGCCAGGAAGGCTGACTCAAGAGCAAGTCATGGAGAGGGTGATCCTTGTAGGGAAGGTCAGTGGGGACCCCTACACTGGAAGCTGCCGGGAGAGCCAGGTTACTAGGAAGTGAGCTGTGTTGCAGACAGTGTCTTCCAGGTGACTTGTATTCTGTGTGTGTACAGATCCATGTGTATACACAGAGACAGACAGACAGCTCAGTCTTATCTACGTAGATATAAATGTATTTATGTTTTCTTTTCCTCCATCTTTAGCAGGTAACCTGAATGGAAGTCAGGCTCTTCTTGATGAGCCAGGATCTTAACTGTGAACGTTACTTCTAAAATAGTAATAGGTCTTGGGGGGAGGGTATAGCTCAAATGACAAAGCACATGCTTAGCATGCATGAGGTCCTGGGTTCAATCCCCAGTACCTCCTCCAAGAATAAATAAATAAATAAACCTACTTACCTCCCCCCCAAATAATAATAATAATAAAATAACATAGTAATAGGTCTTAACTGTAGTACGTTTGTAGTAAGAATTACAGTATCGCATGATACACAGCAGTGGTAATTTCAGGGGCACCTGAGGTCCATACAGCCCGTCGCTGTGTCATCAGCTGCCCTGCTGGCAGCACAGAGACACAGTCTGTTTGGGAGAAATCTCACCTCTTACACAGTTGCTGTATCTTCTCTCCGTGGCCTGAGAAAACAGCCAAGCCTGACACCAACTGTGCCTCAGATAAGAGTAGATAGGTGCTGACTGAGGGCCTGCGGGACTGTCCACGGAGTACATACCTGCATTTTAACCTGCGGATTTTGTGACATTGCTTAGCTCCTCAGAGGCCTTCCGGGACTGACTGTCCATTGACTGGATGGCTTCCTCAGAGTGCTGCTTCGTTGGTGAGGTAGCCCTTACTCTTCAGGAAAAGGGGTCCGTTAACTTTGTTTCTTCTTCTTCTTCTTTTTTTAAGTGGAGGGGGAAAGTAATTAGGTTTCTTTATTTATTTGTGTATTTATTTAGTGGAGGTACTGGGACTTGACCCCAGGACCTCATACATGCCAGGCATGCACTCTGTACCCTCAGGGGTCCATGAACTTTGACTTCAACCCATGATGTTACTTGTTCAGGGTCGCTAGGTCACTGATTCCAGCAAAGCTCTTGCTTGGTACTTAAGGTTCCAGCTTTTGGTACTTAGGACAGAGCTCAGCACATAGGTAGACACTGAAATTATATTTGTGATATACGTTGACCTAAGTTTTTATTTGCATGATGTATGTAGATTCCATTCCTAATCCTGTCTTTAAGTGTTATTTATATTTCACGTGATGACTAATAAAATGGATAGTAAAATGCTTCCTGAAGGTGCTGGATGCTAACAGTGTGAAACGACAGCCTCCCCTACACTGCGTGGTAGCCTGAGTTTCTTCTGCAGCGCATGCTCTCGTTCTGGAGGAGTAACTGTCCAAGTGAAGAATGTGATTTCTTTCCTCTCGCAGGTTAATGCGTCCCCATCTCTCACCTCCAGCACTGCCAATGATCGAATCCTTAAGTATAACCTGATTAATGACACCCTCAATATCGCGGTCCCTAACGGCGAAATTCCAGACTGTAAATGGAACAAGTCACCCCCGAAGGAAGTTCTTGGCAACTACGAAATTCTGTGAGTTTGTATAACTGTGCAGTTGGCCCTGTGTGTTTCAGACTCGGGGGGAGCCAAGGCCCAGCTGGGATTTTCTGTGTGTGTGAACTCAACTTGCTTGGTAGAATATTTTGTTCATTGCTGCGATGAGATAGGTCTTGTAGCAGACAAGTGCTTGGGTGCTAGGCTGCTGTCTAGTCTTGTGCATAAGAAATTTAATAAAGCTCTTGCCACATGCTTGCCACTCTCTGGTCCACCCCTGAAAGCGGTGTGACTCTGAGGAAGCCGCCATCTCTTTGAGCTGCAGCGCGTACACCGTAAATGGACAATATGGTCAGTCTTACAGAGTTGGGAGGAAGAGAAATGACAATAGCAGCTTGACACACATTGTTTTATTTCCCCAGCAGCCTTGTGAGGTGAGGGTTGTAATTGGCTCAGTTTTACATGTGCAGAAACAAAGGCTTTGGTCCCGAATCCAAAGTGAGGGAGAGTGAGAGCCCGTCAGGATGGCAGCGGCTGAACTAGGTACAATTTGTTCATACCGTAGACCAGTCAGTGGATGTTAGAAGGACTGACCCAGAGCTTTGCCATGGGCCCGGGAGGCTGAGGGAGGAAAGTGAGTTGCAGAAAAGGGTGCGGAGTATGATCCGTGTGAAACAAACATCGGCCCTAGCACCCCCGCCCCTCTGTGTGTGTGAGACAGGCATGTCCATGTGTGGTGGGTCCCCTGGGAGCAGACGGGCTGGGAGGTGTGGAAGGACACGCATTATGCTGTCAGCACGGATACCGCTGCTGGAGGTGGGGGGGAGTGGAAGGGGAGCCGAGAGAGAGGGAAAGAGACGGCACCCAGACCCGAAGGACTGAGTATGTTAGGGTCACATCACGTACTTCTGTGAAAGAGAATTGTGCGTTTAACATTTTTGAAAAACACAGAAGTAGCTGGTGAACTTGCCACATGCACACAGACACCAGGCTCCCAGCTGGTGATGCTGCCGGCCTGGGGGTTCGGAGCCCGGGGCCAGGCTTGTCCATGTCCCCCCCTCTGCCATGCGTGTGGATGTAAGTGTGTGGCATGGGGAAGTGTGTGGGGCCTCGAGGGGGTGGTCAAGAGCCTAACGTGTGACCAGTCAGCTGGTGGTTTCCCCGGCACATCTGGCCGTGGGCGGGGCACTGTAGGCAGAGGGTGGAAGGACTGGGGTGGGTGCTTGCCAGGCTTGGGGGAAGGGCAGGGAGCAGCAGAATGTGAGCCGATGAGGACAGTGAGAGGGTGGGAGGCGGCTGGTGGCCCGGTGGTGGGGGTTGTTGGGGTGAGGCTGTAGGGAAGTGAGCTGGGAAGAGAAGGGGCGGAGGTCAGGGTGAGGCTGACGCTGAGGTTTTGTGCAGGGTGCAGTCACCGAACATGATGAAGTTGGCTGCCCGGGGACTGGGGCTGAGCCGGGGTGGAGGACAGGTCATTGGAGAGACACAGGGCCATAGGTCAGGGACCCGGGTCTCGTTTGTTTGGTCACTGCAGTCACCCACAACAGTGAGCCAAGAGCCTGAATCTTAAGGAATTAGGGGCAGTGACCTGGAGGATTAGAGGTGACTGACAAGGCAGGGGTAAGGGTGGTGAATTCTGCTGACCGGGGAAGGAGGTTTTGGGGGAGGAGGGGCTCCAGTCCCAGGGGCATGATCGTGGGAGAGGAAACAGCCCACTCGAGGGGCTGCAGGGGAAGCGGTGTCTTCAGGGAGAGCCAGGTCTCAGAGCAGGAAAGTGAAGGGGACCTTCCAGCGTGAGGGGGAGGACGTGGGCGTGGGGGTTGCTGATGACGACGGAGAGGTCTGAGTGCGCAGAGGAAGAGCGTGGAGGTGGGGCCAGCGTGGGCACGTCCAGAGCCTCCGGAGTTGGCCTTGTGGGAGGTGCGAGGTGACGTGAATGTGATGGACGTCAAGCTGTGGTGAAGGGCTTCGTAGGCTCAGTCCTGACGGCCACTGAGACAGACGGGGGGGGCTGTGCGTGACGGAGAAGGAGTCTCGCCAGGAGTGTGAGGGGCTGGGTGGGTCCCCCTTCATCCAGCTGAGGGTGGTGGGGAGCCGGCTGTTGGGAGCCCGTGGGGGGGCTTTGTCCCTGTCAACACATTGCCTTTTGGAGGGAGATGCTCGGTTTCCAGTTTAAGGTCAGACGCTTCATGCTTTTAGCTGAAAAGCGAAAAGGTGACCCTCCTCCCCCGCCAGCCCAATCCTTTTAGCTGCCCTCTCCCCGGATGTGGTAATACAGAGGCTCCACTGCTGGGCCCATAGTTCTGAGTCCTTCCATTCAGGACTTGCCCGCTGTGCTTCAAACGACCTGTCAGAGTCCCCTGTTGGCTAACAGCTGTGGTGCATTGTGGGGAGAGAGGGAGGACCTGGGGTGGGGAAGGGAGGGCCTGGAGGGATGGGGGAGGACCCAGGGCAGGGAGGGAGGACCTGGGGGTTGGAGGAAGGATCCGGGGTGGGGGAGGGAGGACATGGGAGGGAGGATCTGGGGTGGGGGAGGGAAGATCTGAGGGGATGGGGGAGGACCCAGGGCAGGGAGGGAGGATTCAGGGGGAGGAGGGAGGATCCTGGGTGGGGAAGGAAGGACAGGGGAATGGGGAAGGACCCAGGGCAGGGAGGGAGGGAGGACTCAGAGTTGGGGAGGGAGGATTGACATCCTGGGCACTGTCCTGTCCTGCCATGCCAGGCACTCTGCATTCTATTGAGTGCTCACAGCAGTCCTGCGGAGTGTCCCAGCACAAAGAGGAGGAAGCCAGGGTGCAGGCTCACTTGTCTACAGTCACACCTCTAGTGCTGGCACCCAGAAATAGGGGCTCTTGCTGCCGCCCCAGATCATCGTTCTGGCCTTGGAGCCACAAGGCCTAACACTTTGCATCTGCTCCCTCCAGGGCCCAGTTTTGAGGGTTTCGCAGCCTTTTAAATAATACTGTACTGACTGAGTGGATTCTGCCTATCAAAAGCTCGAGGAGAAGGGCCCGCTAGCACAGGAGGGGCCTGGGAAGAGCCATCCAGTCTCTAATTCTCCTCCACATTCGCTCCATCAGTGGCCACACCATCCCTGGAAACAGCCCGTCCCGGATGCCAGCTACTTGCTCATTTCTGTTTGTTCCATGTTTTCAAGCTGCACAGACCAGCACAAATGTGTGGTGGCACTGGTAGCCCACATGTGGGTCTGCCCTCTGTTTATTCAGCAGATTCTTACTGCACACCCACCCCCAGGAGTGAGGTGCTGGGGGTGACCGTGAGCCAGTCCAGCCCTTTGGTCAGTAATGTGGACATGGAACAGGCAATAGAATGATAACATGCGAACGGGGAGTCCCTAGGGGTGGGGAGAGGCCAGGGCGGCTCCCAGGAGAGCCCCCACAGGCAGAACACCTGGTGTCCAGCATCAGCTCTCCCTAGGGAGACAGGGAGGGCAGGGGAGGGGGACCCACATGTGGTCCGACATCCCCATCTGGCGGAGGGAAACTCTGTCGTGTCTGCCGTGTAACTAACACCCTGCGAACTGGCCTTCCTCCTGCCTACCTTTCCCTTTCAGCCCCGTTTGCCACCAGAAAATGTATCCTTCAACCTCAGCTGTCTAACCCACACAGATTCTGATTCTGGGAATGAACTCATAACAGAAACACACCCTTTTCCAGATGTCAGCAAAATTTAGCTAATGCAACATAACTGAGCATCGTAGTACCTTTTGCGTTTGATATGAATGTCTTTGGGGAACAGAGGAGCCTTAGGGCGTGGTCAGCAGTGGCACCTGTGAACACACGTTAGCTGTAGACAGAAACTTCACATTCTGATCTGCAGGGTGAGAAGTTCTGAATTAAGAGTCTGAAGTGCTGGGTTTTACTTAATCCTACCTCTGCCACATACCAGCTATGTGACTGTAGCACACTGAGTGAACCTGTCTGAGCCCCACTTGCCTCAAACAGGAAGTGGGGATCTTAATGCCGACCATTCTGAGTCCTGAGGGTGGTGAAGCCACGGTGGGATAGGAGACCCCAGCCTCCAGGCCTGCAAGGTGCCAGGGCTTACAACAGGTGCTGGGGGTTTCACCACCCTCCCGGGTCCTCCCCCAGCAAGAAAGGCGGGGGATCACCCAGGTGCCATATGGTTAGGGTGCTGAGGTCTCGGCCGGTTCTTTCTGATGCAAAAGCCTAGGCTGTAGGCTCTGGCGCTACTACACAAGCCTGGTGCACGAGGGGCCGGTCGGTCCCAGCTGGTGGGGGCGACACTGGCCTTCCTTATGGGTAAAGTACTGAGCCTCCCCCTGACCTGGTCCCTCCTCCTGGGTGGGCCATTCACCCCGTTCCCTGTCTGAAGTGGGGTGAGTCACACTTGCCCCGGAGGAGCTGAGTGAGAGGCTGTGTGTAAAGTGTTTGCAGACATCACTTCTCTCCCTCGCTACCCTGGTGTCTCACTCCTTTCCTTTGGGGTCACAGCCGAATTCAGTCTGGTGGCCTGTATAAAATGTCAGCTGCAGGGGGTGGGGACCGTCCACAGTAGTAATTTAACAAGGTTGTATCCATATGTTCTGTGGCCTTGGGTGGTATTTGGAGGGCTGCCAAGGCCACCTGGTGGACAGGCGGACTGGAGGCGTGTGGGGCCAGGGCCAGGCTGCTCTCCGGTGACTGCACTGCAGCCACAGCGCCACTGCCACTGAATCCCGGAGGTGTTTTCTTCGTTTCTAGGTACGACGAGGAGCTGGCGCAGGGTGACGGGGCCGACCGAGAGCTGAGAAGTCGGCCCGGCCAGTCGCTGGGGCCTCGAGGGGGCCGATCGAGAGACTCAGGGAGAACGGTGCTCACAACCTGGAAGTGACCACCAGCGGGAGGAAAAGACTCCACCCTGGACTCGGTCAAACTTGTCGCTGCACTCACCCTTGCTGAAGACTTATTTTGGAATTTCCTTTTTCTAGAGCCTTTTTCCTTTCCTAAACCCTGTAAATAAATAAAGGCCCTTCTTTGGAAGGTAAAAGAGTCTGTTACTGGGGAAAACTCTGTTTCCCCTTTACTCTCACGCTCACGATTCTTCTGACACCAGGTGTATCGGACTTTTTCCCATACCAAGCAATTCTGCGGTCTTCTGCTGGGCGCCAGGGGTCCTACAGTTTAACTCAGTTCTGACACTGTCTGCCTGGAGGTGGAATCAGATCCCACGGGATAAGGGCTCAGCCCCTCAGGACTGCCCCCAACTCTCCCAACTTCAGACGCCAATGGCAAGTCCAGGTTGTGCTTCTGACCGACTGGCTTTCAGTTGCAGGTTCTCGTAACCCTGTTCTTGGGTTCCATTAATTTGCCAGTGTGGCTCATGGAATTCAGTAAAACAGTTTGCTTAGCAGATTACTGGTTTACTGTAAAGGATGCAACTCAGGAAGCGCCTGATGGAAGAGGTGCAGTGGGCGAGGTGTGGAGGAAGGAGCATGGAGCCCCCATGCCCTCTCCGGGAGCACCCCACACCAGCACCTCCACATGTTCAGCAGCCTGGAAGCTCTTCAGATTCCACAGTCCTGGGATATTTATGGAGGCTTCATTATGTAGGCATGATGGATGAAGTCATTGGGCGTTGGCAATCCATTCAGTCTCCAGCCCCTCTCCCCGCCTGGCAAGTTGGAGGGTGGGGCTGAAATTCCAACCCTCTAGGCACGTGCATGGTTCCCCTGGCAGCCAGCACCCAACTGAGGCTACCTGGGAGCCCCAGCCAGCAGCACAAACTGGCGTGGTTGAAAGGGGCTTGTTATGATTAATGAAAGATACCCGTTTCATCTTTATGCTCTTTAGCGATTTCAGGAACTGGAAACAAAACTACGTATTATAACAGAAAAATGTCCCTGTAGCTCTTAGAAAGGAAATTACAAGGGTTTTAGGAGCTACACGCCAGGAAAGGGGACGGAGACCAAATACGTATTTCTAACTATAAATCACAATATCACAGTCTATTTCATTAGGGCTGAAAGAACTGTTTCACAAATGCATAAAACAAGCTCTTTCGACAATAACAGCTTCAGCATGTGATTTAGTTTATTATAAGGTATTCACGTTTTAAAAAGTTTGCACTAAATTAAAACCAAAACCAAAATCTGAGTATCTTACAGGATGGCGCTGCTGTGAAAAAGCAAAATACTTAATCTGACAGCTGCTTTGATTTCATTCCTTTTAGCTTAACTGTGATTTGAAAGAAAACAGGCAACTAGCAATATTCCTCAGTATTTATCCTTACAACAGTCTTTGTCTTGGTGCTCAGCAGAGACTGATTTCTGTCACTCGGATTTGGCAGGTGAGTCTGTCGGTCTGAGGAGCCCAGACAGTTGGCTTCCATGACGTCAGCATCTGGGTTCGCCGCAGACGCAGAGGTAAGCGCGGTTGGCAGCCATCAGCAAGATGAGCTCTTGACGTGACGTGTTTGCTGGAAGCCACCCTGGACACCAGGGACTTACAGAAAAATACAGGGAGGCAACCAGAGTCTGTCGGTAGAGCGACTGACGCACTCGAATAACCCCTGGGGGTGGTCCTATTAGTAAGAGCCTTTTGTTGTCGCATTTGACACCTGTCCACTGATGCTTCACTCTCCGTCCTGAGTTTCTCTTTCAGCTCCCCTCCTATTTGTGGTTACAATATTAGGAACAGGATTACTCTCAGGACATAGAAGGTGGAGGTCTTTCCTGTGCCCTTGCGTGAACACGTCATTCCTTCATGTCTTGTGTGTGTGGGCGCTCACGTGTTTAATGATGTTTCTATGCCAGTTAGGGAATATGTTGGTTTTTTTGTTTGTTTGTTTGTTTGTTTTTTTAATGGCTCTGATATAATACAAAGTGAGAGAAATGCAATACAAATGGCATTTAGCCAGAATCCAAACAAATTGCAGTTTGGGGAGATTTGTCTGCTGTGTTCATGTGAAGCCTGACATTGTTCCAGCTTATTGGTCAGTGTGTTCTGTGTGTTTCTGATGTTTAGGCCTGGTGATGGCAGGTGTGGCTTCCGGCCTCTGCGTCAGACCTGGGCTTGAGCCCTGGCTCTGCTGTTTCTTACTCTGTCCCAAGGCTGACAGTGGCTCTTTGGACCTTTGCTTCCTAGTGCATAAAAAGGGGATTAACTATATTTGTCTTGAAAATTACAAGTGCCACCGCCTGCCCCACCTTGCTCCTGTTCCAGCCCTGACTGTGTCTGCTTCCCCAAGAGGAGGCATAATCCATGCGGCTAGCAGCCTCCACCCTCGGCTTCTACGCACAGCTTTTCCACCCCCCAGTTCTGACAGCCCAGGTTATGCTGTTTTATCTTTGCCTCTCAGATGTGTCTGGGAAAGGGTGGAGTCCCTCACTGGGAGTGAGCGCTGAGGGCAGCTCAGCGGTGCTGGAGGACAGGAGTCGTCTGCCGATGCCCAGCTTGCTCGGTGAGAGTGTATCTGCTAAACAGATTCAAGTCAAATATTGACTGTTCCATTAGTGATGTCATGTTCTGGGGCAGATGCTTCCTCTGAAGGCTTCCAGAACATGCATAAGTAGAAAATATGCGGCGTCCGAAGCAGGCCTTGGGAAATTGTTGGGCTGTCAACAGACTGTCGGGCACCTGGCCCAGGCCTCCGGCAGTGGTCCCCATTTGGAATCGCCCAGGTTGACAATTTCTGTTTTCTTACATCTCCCATTACTTTTTTCTGTTTGATAGCAGGAGAAGTGTTCCCAAAGTCTGAGAGTTATAGCATCTGGTCATTTTCACAATGATGCTTTTTGTTTGATTTGTTTGATTTTTCCCAGAGTAAACTCATCATTTGCCTGCTTCCTGAATGGGCCACCCCTCCAGCATTCTTTGGCCTGTGCTTAAGCCCAGAATAAAGGTGTCTTGTTACATGTCCCCCATCTCCCAGCCCAGCAGTCCCCAAGCCCGGTGACAGCCTCCTCAGTTGGCTTCCCACCTGGACCACTGCTGGAGGCCCCACCAGTCTCAGCCCACAGCCCCATCCCATCCAATAGAATTCCACCCTCTGGCCCAAAGAATTTTTCTGACATGTGGCCATTTCGCCCAACACACAGTGGTTCTTCAGGGCCCTCCACTAAGCCTTCTAGGCTTGGGAGGGTTCAAAGGCCCTCCATATACACTGTGCCTACCAGCCCCAAACTCACTGGACTTTTCTCTGCCTGGGTCATCCTTCCCCCAGGAGACTGGCAGATCCCACCCTCCCTCCAGGTCCCTTTTCCAGCTCTGCTGCCTCTCCCAGCCAGCCAGGGGAGGTGCTTCCCTGAGCTGCCTGGCCCTTGGTCTCCCCAGCATCAGGCCATCGGCCTCCTATTGTCCAGGGAAGCAGGTGAGCATCTGCTGCAGGGACCCTGGCCAACTGGCCTCTGGGCCTGGCATCTGGCACTGCTCACTGACCAGCACCCACAGGATGTCCGTTGTGTCACTTAAAAGGAGCTGCACCCAAGCGGGGTGCCCTGGGGCATTTCAGGACCCTCTGTGAGGGAACAGGGATGCCATCAAATTTTGTTTCTTGTTTTTCATTTAGGCAGATGAGGTACTTTTATGTCTTTTCTGATTTGTCCCAGCCTGAACCATATTGTATCTCATATGCTTTTAAATTAAAAATAGGATCCTTGTACTTGTATGTAGTGCATTCCCGGTGGTCCATCTCGCACTCACTCTGCCCATGGATGCAGTGGTCTCTTTGCTGAACGGAGCCTGGGCGTCTGCAGGGTCCCTGCAGGGAGCCACAGGCTTTCCCGCCCACCAATCGACCAATTTTTTTTCAAGTTTAATTCCCTTGATTTTTCTTATATAATAATGCTGCATGGTAGCCCCATCTGTAGGCTGGTTCTCTTCCCAGGTCCTTGGGTGGGTCTTTACAGAACAGCAAATTTCTGAGCAAAGTCCCCAAGGGCTCTGTCCTGCTGGGGGTCTCTCCCGTGGTGGCTGAGGACACTAGGCAGCTCACGCCTCAGGGCCCGATTCCCATTCTGGCCGGAACACGGTGCTGGGCTGGCAAGCGCCAGTGTGTTCCCCGCTGCCCAGCCCCGGAGCAGGGGGCGGTGGCTACCCTGCCCACCTTCTGTCCTAAGCCTCGGGCCTTGACAGCTGATGGTGAGGGGCAAGGGAAAGATAACAGAAAGGGGTGGACAGAGGCACCTGGGGCTGTTCCGGCTGGAGGGACCACGAGCGCTGAGCTCTGTCAGCCCACACTGCCCCTAAGGAAGGGAACGCAGCCCTGACAACCAGGAGCCGGCCTGGCCCTCACAGTTCGGTGGAACATAAACAATCACACAGAACACAGTGTCAGACCAGGCCACTCTGTAACTGATAATTAAGACAAAACCTTTCCACAATCGTGTCTGAACATGAACAACAGCATGAACATTGTCCAGGCCACAAATGACCACCTGTCCCGGCTACAGGAGTGACTTCACCATCACCCCTCTTGCCTCTTGCAGGCTCCCCTCCCTGTAGACAAGGTCTACTAAGATACCTGATCACAGAATCCCCGGCCCTTCCTGAGAGCCCCTAGCCTAGACTAAAGCCGACCTCCTTAGACCTGCACATCACCCAGTGCCCTAAAGTCCTTCCCAACAAGAGGAGGGAAGGGAGCGGGGCACAGCCATTAAAGGAACGACACAGGATTAGCACCAAGATGGCAGAAAAGTCAACCCCCAACAGACTGGGAGGCCCAAGATGGCGGGAGTTTCACCCTCCAGAGGACTTTGAGCTTCTTTATGCACACTGCAGTGTCCTAGCCTGGTGAACGACACACACACAGGCACCATGACAGTGCTGAGGCTGCCCATGAGAGGTCAAAGAGAGGTCAGTGGCCAATTCCTGGGAATCCCCACCCCTTCCCCAAAGCAGTTGGATCAATCCTCCCACTTGTGAGCACAGAAAAACTAGTAACACCGTGCTATGCAGTCCCTCTCTCTCTCTTGCCTTCCGAGACAGCCTGCGCTCTGTCTATGGAGTGTGTATCTACCTTTACATTAACCAGTCCCACCCCACCCCACC